ATGCAGCCTCCCACCCTGGAGCCCTGGATCACAGCAGGACGGCACTTCTGCCCAGCTGTGGGGCACACAGCAGCCACGCTCCTCTCCAGGCTCAGTCCAGCACATCGGGAGGCAAAACAAGACCACAGCCCAGATGCTGAGCGGCTGAGAGCAGCTGTGGCTGCACTGATGTCAGCCAGTCCCGACCTTCCAGGAAAAATCTGTTTTGTTTTTTAAAGCTGACTCTTCCCTGAAACCTGGGCAGCCCAAAGGCTGCAATGCTGAGCAGGAAACATAGCAAAGGTTCAAGTCATTTGGACATTATGATTTGTGCGGGCGTAGCGCCTCGGGGACCCCGGCAGCGCACAAACAGCCCAGCCCCCAGGAGCTGGCAATCTGCCGAAAGGAGAGAAGAGACGGACGCAGGCAGGCTGGGTGGGATGAAGGAATCGCCAAACAGTACCAGGCGGCACCCTAACCGTGTCAAGCTGTCCCAGGAGCTGTGGGGAGGGCTTGAGGGAGGGCAGGGAGTGAATCATGTGCCCATGTAAGAAGTGGGTGATGCAGACTGCAGGCGTCGGGGCTGGAGAGGAGGAGACGGCAGCGACTGAGATACAAGGTGTTGAGACCTGGCAGGAGCGGAAGGAGAGCTGAACGGAGAGGCCGTCTCCTAGAGCTGCTGCGCTCAAGCCCTGCCGGCTGCACGGTCTGTGTCGCTGAGTGTGCGTGGAGCCAGGGGGAGATGCGATTGTGTACGCGGGGCGTTGCGGTGCTGCTCCCAGTGACTTTCAGTGCGACCTGGCCACACGCGGAGCCTGACTCTCACTTAACCCTGGGTTTTGGAGGACAGGAGGAGATGTGTCCTGTGGCAATCCTGCACTAGCACCTGGTGCTGGACAGCCAGGACACTGGACTGGCTGACCTGCCCCCGCTGGCTTCAGAGGAGATGCCCTCCCCTGCGCCCAGCGCCAAGGGGCGAGACTCAACCTCCTGATGCTTCGGCCACTGATGCCCCTTTCGAGCCAGGCAGACGGCTGAGCTACTTTAAGACGCCTGGGAGACAAGCGTGGGTTGATCCTGCCGGGGCAGGGCCCGGTGGGTGTTTCTCAATGGGAGGATTCCTTTGGGGTGACGTGTGGCACGGCGCCAGCTCCTTGCTCGCGGCTGCCTGGGGTCTGCACTCTGGAGTAGCTGACATCAGGCTTTGGCACCTGCTCCTGGGCTGGGCCCTGCAGGATTGTACATGTCCTGCAAGCCCCAAGAGAAACTGGGGGAACTGGGCTGATTTAGTCTAGAGAAGAGAAAACGGAGCGGGGATTTAATAGCTGCCTTCAGCTCCCTGCAGGGTGGGTCCAAAGAGGATGGAGCTGGGCTGTTCTCAGAGCAAGGAGCAATGGGCTCAAGTTGCAGCCAGGGAGGTTTAAGTTGGATATTAGGGAAAACTTTCTTACTAGGAGGGTGGTGAAGCACTGGAGCAGGTTACCCAGAGAGGTGGTGGACGCTGCATCCTTGGAGGTTTTTGAGACCCAGGTAGGCTGGGATGATCTAGTTGGGGCTGGTCCTGCTTGGAGTGGGGGGTTGCACTAGATGTGACCTCCTGAGGTCCCTACCAACCAAATTTTTTATGACTCTACGTCCAATAGCAAGGGGGAGTGCAGCCAGGTGCAGCGCAGGGGCAGGGAGAGCTCAGCCCTCGGCTCCACGGGCTCCTCGACAGTGTCGCTGGGTGACCAGAGCCATGGGGCAGCCTCCACCACAGTCCTCAGTAATCGAGAGAAATCGTTTCCCCACCCTCCAATAAGTGTCGCCTCGAAATGCAAGAATGTACCGCGGGAGGGCTGAAGTCAGTCTGCTCCACAACCTGCCTGCAAGAATGGACCGTGACCAGCCAGCATGGTGATGCTGCTCCTTGTGCCCTCCTCCCACCCTTTCCAAAGCACATTACCTCCTGACCCCAGCTGGGGAAACTGAGGCAGAGAGGGATGCCACCAGGCTGGGCTGCTGGCACAGCAAGTGTTCCCGAGCTGCTGATGAAGAGCAGCCGATGGAGAGTCCTGCCACTTTGGCTTTGGCCTTCCTGGCACTCGGGAAGTTGCCAGCAGGTCCGTGCCACGCAAGTGTGGAGACCCTGGGCTGGGATGGCCTGCAGGCCTACATGGTGCCGAGGAAGGGTGTGGAGAGCGCGGATGGCTGGCAACATGTTTAACAAGAGGCAGCGAGGGCATGGACGACGTGCAATGTCCCTGCCCAGCTGGACGAGCCAAGAAACAGCTCAAAGGAAAAACTGAGGCTGCTTTCTTGGTGGGAGGCAGCTGGCTGGGGCTCCAGCCACGCGGAGAAGGAAAGTTGGCTTTCTAGATAATGTACAGCGCTGAGGTCCCCCTGGCTCCGTCGGGGCTTTGCCGTGTGGCTCTGGGCAAGTCACTTCAGTGCCTTGGTTTCCCCACGTCTGAGAGGGGATAGTGGTTTCCACACGGCACTTTGCCTTGCGGTGGAAGGTGCAATCAATAAGGGATGTCAGGGCTCGTGCTGGCTTGCTTCCTGCTGATGCTCTCAAAGCGCTTTTAAAAGGCATTCACAAAAGAGCCCTCGCCGCTCTTCTGTGCGTCTTTGTCCCTTGCCACCTGAGTGCTGAGACTGGGACCCGGGAGTCCTGGCGCAGCATCGCCTGCTGCAACCGCTCGAGTGTGGGATAGTTAGTGAAGGGTAAGGAAGGGAAATTCTCCTTCACAGGAGCTCCTGCAAGCCTCCCTGGGCTGCCGGGGGGATCTCACAGGGGCTGGCTCTCTCCTGTAATTGCAGAGGTGCAGCCCATAAAGCAGGCTGTGAAGGACTGAGGGGCGTATTAGCTAGATAAACCCAGAGCAAGCCCTGAACAGATAACGGGCATACATTTCTGGCACCGTACAGGCCAGGAGGGCATCGCCATGATTTTACTTAATTACTGAGGACAGCTGTGGCGGCCGCCTCATGGCTCTGGTCACCCAGGAGGGCATCGCCACGGCCAGGAGGGCATCGTTTCCGGTGGAGAAAGGGCCGAGGGGAGGGTGGAAGTTCTCCAGGCTTTCATTTCTGGGAAGCAAAGGTCAGTGCTGTGAAGAGGAGGGGTGCCTGGGTGAGATGCCTGGGGATCAGTGTGCCAGGTCCTGCTTGTGTGAAGGGCTCCCAGTGGGTGTCACCCGGGTCAGGGCTTTGGGCCTCTCTGGTTTTCGCTGCTGGGGTCGGAGGCTGCATTGCTCAAAGCCGACGGGCAGTAGAGCAGCCTGCCTCCAGGAATAGCCTGTCAGCGGCCCATTAGCAGGGTCCCGTCCAGCCCCACATGCAGCTGTGGTACAATGTGCCCTTCTACCTCTCACAGAGCTCCAAGCCTCAGGAATCCCGGATGGGAGACTTGCCAGTCCCCAAGGAAAGGCAAAGCCAGGTTTCGCTTGGTGGGAGCAAAGAAGAAGCCAGCAGGCGAGGCGAACCCTGAGCAAGCCCTGAATGGTTAACAGCCACAAATTCCTGGCACTGTCCAGGCCAGGAGGGCATCCCCGTGGCATCATTCCTGATGGAGGAAGGGCTAGGGGGAGGATGGAGGTTCTCCAGGGCTTTATTTCTGGCAAAGGGGGAAAGAGAGAGCTCAGGGGGTAGATTTCAGTGAAACACCCAGGATTGCACTCAGCACAGTGCCGTCGTATGGATGGTGCCAGAGAAGAGGTCTCTTATGCCAGTGGGGGGGGGAGGTAGTGCATGGAGGGGCTGTGAGGTCTCCCTCGGTGTGGGTCCTCGCAGGAAGAAGGGATGGGAGGCTTGGCTCTCCCCTGACTTGCCAAGCGCAGCTCCTGGGTTGCAGGATGCAGCTGAGCCCCACCTGGCAGCCCCACCACCAGCAGCTGCCATGAGATGAAGTGTGTGGGTGCTCAGCATGGTTTCCTGTGGGCCAAGGCCCTCTGGCATAGCAGGTCGCCAGGACAGCTTGCCCTCAGCGCAGTGTAGTCGCATGAATGGCGCAAGAAGCCTTTCCTGAGCCAGGTGGCACCAGCAGGGTGGAGGGGGGTGTTGGCTGGCAGGTGCTTGGGTCCTAGCTGTTCTTTGCTCTTTCTGTGCATGCTATCAAATAAGGGCCAGCTGGGAGTGGAAACCACCCCTGCCACCCCAAGTATCATGGTAGTAGAGAGCAGGAGACCATGTAGTCCCTTACCCAGAGTGCCTCTAGCTGGTGGTCTCCATTGCCCTCTCGTGGAGACGCATGGCTTTGCCATACACACCCTGACCCATCATTCAGGATGTGCTTGCAGCAACAGTGGGGTTTTCTTTGGACCTGGTGTCAGTGGTGAAATAATCCACTAGCGTTTCTCTACAAATGCCCCGCTATCACTGCAGGAGTCTGCACCAGCTTCATGTTTTGGAGGCTTTATCTTGGCTACTGCAATAGCTAACGATAGTCCAGGACTGGCATCTGCAAACCAGCCCATTGCCTCCGTGTGACTTACCCTGCCATGCAGCATTCCTCTTGTGAGCTGTTGCTTCGTTGCACCCCAGAAGCAGCTGCATTGAAGTGGGGCAAATGACCCCTGTGAAAGCGTTGTTTGTAACATGCTTGGGCTCTCTGCAGAGATGCAATGGGAATTCCAGCTCCTCGGTGGTTGCTAATCATTGCCCAGGGAGCCAGGGCTAGCTGTGCTCACCCTCTGGCCCATGGTGATTTCCTGTCGCTCTTTATCCCCAGAGGTTATCCGAGCCACGCGACTGCGTGCCGTGGACATCACCTCCAGTAGCTTCCGCCTGATGTGGCCCAAGCTTCTCTCCAGCGGTACCGGCTATTACGTGCTGGAGCACACCCCTGCAGAGGAGCCCAGGAGGAAGCTGACGCAGCAGGTGTCCGGGGACCGCACCAGCCTCCTGTTGAACGACCTTGCCCCAGAAACCACCTACAAGGTTGTGCTCATCCCCGAGTCCAACACACACTATATCCCGCCGCAGACCACCAGGGTCACCACTCTGCAAGGTATTATATGGGGGAGGGGGGCACGTATTGGGGTTCCTAGGTGCAACCCAGCATCGCTGAGCGTCCTGCTGTTCTGGGCATCGTCCGGACAGATAACCCTGGCCTCGACCTTATAGTGTTGGCAGCAGAATGGAAAAAGCAGGCAGACAAATGCCTGAAGTGGAAGGCCAGCTCTACCAGCTGAGGCTGCAGTAGGTCCAGTGACCTCTTAAAGAGGTCCCACCAGCAGCAGAGAGGGACAAAGCATCACACAGGTGTATGTTCAGTATCCAGGCAATTGTCCCCATCGTCCTCCAAGGAGCTGAGGACAGTCTTATGTCCTGCATCACCCGGGCCAGCTGGGAGCAGAAAGCAAGAGCTGGCCCTGTCTGAGGGGGGTAGCGAGGGCTGTGGGTGGCTACTTAGAGCTGTGAAAATCATTGCTTGTTTGGCTTTTCCAGTCTTTCCCCTCCAAAAAAAAATCAAAAAAAAAAAAATCAGTGAAATTGGGCGCAATGGAAAAACTGATGGGGAAAATTGCTTGGGGTCAAAAGAAACTTTTCTGGTTCAAGCATATCTTGTGTGTGTTCTGCCTTTGTGACATAAGACGGCTGGAAAACGTTAATGAAAAACACCAGAGGCAGTTTGCCTTTTTTGAATGTTTTCCCCCAACATGAGCATTTGGGCAGAACCGAGGCGGATCTGCCGAATGTTTTGGGGATGCCAAGTCTCCATTCTTCTCAAAGGGAAAAATAGAGTTTCTTCTTCCCCAGCACTTTTGCAGACAGTAACAGGGGATATAAGTGCCCGGAG